TGTGTGTGTGTGTGTGTGTGTGTGTGTGTGTGTGTGTGTGTGTGTGTGTGTGTGTGTGTGTCTATGTGTGTGTGTGTGTGCCCGTGTGTGTGTGTGTGTGTGCCCGTGTGTGTGTGTTTTCATGTGTAAGTGTCTTTTTTTCTCGTTTTTATGTTTTTCGTTTTTTTTAATATATACAAACTTTGAAAAAATGCAAACAAAAATATGGGGTCGTAGATCTCCAAAATATCTACAAGACTGTATTTTTTATTATTATTTTTGTTAATTTTTTGCCTGCAAAAAAATCTCTGTGAAAAAAAAAGAAAAACCCACCCATTTCATGTTGTTTTTTCTTTCTTTTCTTTCGTTTATGTTTTTGATTTTTTAAAAATACAGGACTTCAAAAAAATAAAATAAAAAATACAAGGTTGTAGATCTCAAAAAGATCTACAACCATGTATTTTTTTTTTTTTTTTTTTGCTTATTTGTTTTTGGGGAAAAAAATACTCCCGCGCCCGCTCAAACCCCGCTCAAGCGCTCTTGAGTGTGGGATTGAGCGGAGCTCAAAAATTTGAACTCCGACCCCGCGCTCAATCAGCGCGCGGTTTCACAGGCATGGTACTATTACAGACACTGCCTTTTTTTTCCTTTTTTTTTTTTTGAGGGGGGAACAAAAGCTCCAATCTATTCGTGGGGAGCAACACGCGGGCCCAGCGTCCCATGTAGAATTATGCAAATGATTTGAAATACAACACGTGCTGGGAACCGGGCCCAGCGTCCCATGTAGAATTATGCAAATGATTTGAAATACCAGGGCCATTATCTTATGAGAAAAATTCAGAAACATTCAGGAAAAATTAGGAAAAACGTGAATACTGCTGACCTATTGCTAGGTAAAACAGGAAAGCCACAGAAGTCCTTCGAATGCTCGGAATCCCTGGAATCCCCAACAAAACACTCTAAAAATTCTCTAACACTGTCTAATTCCCTGCTGAGCTCTCCCAGGCCTCATGCCCCTACCCTGCTAGGTTACAGGGCAACACAGCTCACCCCAGCTCCGGCCAGCGTTGTCCCGACAGCAACCCTTGGTTTTCCTTTGGAATGCCCGGCCCAAAGCATCCCCAGATCTCTCTACCAGGCCTCACGCTCCTGCTGTCAACAGGTTACAGGGTAACTCCCCAGCACTGGCCAGCGTCATTCTGGCATCGAAAAACCACGGGTCCATGAATATAACAGCATCAAAAAAGCCTAAAATGACCCTGAAATCCAGGGGATTATCTGAGCAGGGATCGTCCTTTGATGGTAATGAGAAATACTTTTTGGGGGAGACTATGTGATGTGTGCGATGAAAATTTCATAAGAACTGAACTTTTTTTTTGACGCTCCCCACCAATGGATGGAGTCCCTCCCCGGGTGCTAGTGGGGTCTGCTCTTATCAGCACCTCTAGCATTGCAGGGGGGTCTTTTTTGTATAAAAAAAAAAAAAAGCAAAAAAAAGCTGAACTAACCCTGCAAGAAACAATCTGATAATCCTAAAAAACAGGAAGAAAGGAAAACGAAAATCTCTTTCCCCGCACCACAAACGAAAGACCACTGCCCAGGCGTTCAGTCCTCGTACCAGAACTTGCCAGATCTCATACCCCCCCTGCTAGGGTGACAGGGCAACACCAACTGCCCCAGTACCGACCGAACTGGTTCTGACGGACAGGAAGTGTCTTGCTCCCTCGACAACGTCCTTAGCTGCAAAGCCCCTGGAGGTTACAGGGTCACTGGCCCGACATCAGCTACCTTGAAAAAGATGGTTATGCCTTCCACTTGGCATAGCTCCAATAGCCTCAAGCTCCCCATGGTTACAGAAAAGGGAAGAAAAATAGAAGAAGAGAAAGATAGAGATAGAAGAAGAAAGGTGTGTAACAAAGGTCAGGATACTAAGTCAACTTCAACATTCATCTAACGCAGCCACACTTCCGTAATCTAATTGTTACGGCGGTTACAGCGCGGATAGCAGGTGAAGACACAAGTCAACCATGCATTCATGCGATCGGAAAGACACACAGAGAGACTAGCAAGGAGGGAGAATAGAGTCTGACGGAGGAGACAGAGAAAGTCCCTTGAAGTTCCCGAAACGCAACCATAAGGCCGAAGGATATTGCAATAAAACAGGCCAAGTACATAGTAAGAAAGTCGTGTAACCTAGCGCCGCGACCCTACGCTGCGTTTCATCCGGACGCCAGCCGGAATCGTCAGAGGTCTGTGTGCAAAAGTTGCCAGGGAGTGACGGAAGGAATAGGAATAGCAGAATAAGTAGTGTTCGAATAGACGATGAGAAAACCGAAGACACAGTTAGAGCAGAAGAGAATTCTAGAAACCTCCGCTTCAGAGCAGAAAAGAGACCAGAAACCTAGAGAACAGTCGTCCAGATAACCTCCCGAAGAACCTGACAAAGACCCTGAATAAGCAAGGCCCCAGCCACTTGAGCACCTTCCCAGTGGTCGGGCCATAAATTCAAAACTACCACTTCTCGAATCAACACGTGCCATCTCGTCCCTTAGACAGATCCATATTTCTGGAAAATGTTTGAAAATCGAATAAGAAGATCAAATCAAAAAATCAAATCCCCCAAAAAAGATCGAAAAAACAAAATGAAAAACAGGAGAAAAATAAAAATAAAAATAAAAATAAAAATAAAAATAAAAATAAAAATAAAAATAAAAATAAAAAGCGAGGCCCAGCCCCAAACAGGACCAAGCCCCAATGCCCCTCCTAACAACAGAACGCGACCCCAAAGAGACCCGTATTTCAACTAGACCCCCCCAAAGTTTACCCCAATACCCCCTGTGCACACTCCCCTCTCCTTATGCCCCGAATTGCCATCTGCCCGCAAAAACGGTTGACCATGCCCTTCGCTTGGCCCCGTTTACCAGCCGAGCCCAACCAGTCAGAGTGCTGACCCAGTCGTCCCACACGTTTGCAAACTTAGCAGAGAAATTACGTAGAACGCTGTCGAAGAACTCATCCGGAAAATTCCTCTTTCTAAGTTCTATTTTCAGGGTGAACAAAAAGGCCACGTCAGACCCAATCATCGTAGTATAAGCCCTGGCCCTGTGCAAAAATGACCCGATAACTGCCATTTTCTGTTGCCTGTTGCAGTACGAGTCAAAATCCTGCATACTTTGAAAGCGTAGCTCTTTATCTTGATAATTCCTTTGATTCTTGTGCAAAGCCACACTTTGGACACCCCAGGGCCAATCCAGCACCTGCATAACGCATCCCAAGAAATCCCAACAATCACTACTGCTCGTCCGTTCCAAGACCAGATTAGAGTCATAACAACTAGACCCCCCCAAAGTTTACTCCAATACCCCCTGTGCACACTCCCCTCTTCGATGGGCCAGTCACTGTGCCTCCCCTCCGGTCCCCTCCCCCTATGAACATCAGCAGTCTCTGCTCAATGCCACTCGGGGGGACCAACGGCATCTCTCTAGGTGGCGGGCGCCAAGCTTGCCCAGGAAGGTACGTGAGGCCAATGGGGATTGAACCCAAGTCCTCCTGAATGCCACTTGCGTGCCTTACCAACTGAGCTAGGCCGCTGGATGATTTTCCTACTTCTAGTCTTCTGCCCTTTTTTTTTTTTTTTTTAAAGTCCATTGTGTTGTAGAGGCCAGTCACTGAGTGCACAGTGATCACTTGGAGATGTAAGCCACGGGTGTCCAGGAATATGAGACCACCTCCCATCCCATCCTCATGTCAATACTCCTAGCGCACCCCCTATCCCACTATCCTACCTCAGTGTGACCAGCACTCAGGACCATTGCCCTACCATTGGGTAGGCAACTTGGACCGAACAGCAGTGATAGGCACCAGGGCTGATCAGCCCTGGTGGAAGCGGAATC